CTGCGTGCCTTCGGGCTGAATTGAAGCTGTCTTTTGCCGCCGATGGGTTGGATGCTGCTTCTCCCGAGCAGGGCCCCAGCTGGAAAGTGCACATTGCATTTCGGCAGCGCCAGTGGCCATTGCAGCCGACGAGGCGATGCACAACAGTGCTGCGCTTGGGGCGTCCCGCCACGCGTCGGTGGCGCCCACTGGCCAGCGCTGTGAGCGGCGCCAAGCCCGAGCGGGGCCAGGGCTCGATGGCGCCGCCATGGCTTCGGGCGAGCTCAGCACGCGCCCTGGAGGACGCCTGCGGCCGCAGGGTCCAGGCAGAGTGGCCACGCCAGGTACAAGGCAGGCGCATCGGCCTGCGCCTTGAACGCGGCCATGCAGTGCCACAGGCGAAGGGCTTCGCCTGGATGGGTGCGGCGCCAGTAGCCAGCGCCCTGGCCGATGCAATGCCCGCATGGCCAAGGCTGCAGCACATCGCGCCGCGCTGGGGGTGGGGGGGTGGATCACGAGGGCAGCGCGTTGAGCTGGGCCCGCCTCGAGCTGCGCCTAAGCTGGAATGCCCCGCCCAGGACTGGCGCGGTCAAGTGGCCCACGGCCTTGACAGAACCGACGCCGCAGGGGCCAAGGCTTTCTGATCTCGCATGCTAATTGGCGTGACCACGGGCCAGCGCTTTGGACGGGTCCGACACTGCAATTTGCAACGCGTTGCTGGCTTCGCGCCAGATTGGCGGCCCCAAGGCCAAGGCCACGAACGAACCCCATCCCGAGCGGCACTCGGACTGGAGGGGTCCACGCCCGAACTGTGGAGGCCCATGCCCGCTCGCGTCTTCAGCGGGTCCAGCGCCGAGTTGTGCCATGATCCAGCGGCTCCGCCATGACGCGTCTGGTATCTGAGCCGTCGCATCGCGCGTCGCTGGCCTCGGCGATGCTGTTGCTGAAACACCCCGCGCCGAAGTGGGCTCGCACTAGGGCCCATGCCTTCAGCGAAACCTAGCCCGAGCGCGGCAGCGGCGGGGGGGCTTCGCCTGACTTTGCTCGGACCCAGCAGCCAACGGCCTGAAGGGGCGCCATCCTTCGCAGGGCCAGGGCTGGGTGCCCTTGCCATGAGCTGGCGCTGCTCAGCGGCCAACGCCATGCGCGAAACCATCGCCGAACGTGTCCACTGTGTGAGGGCCACGCCCTGAATAGAGGCGGCACCCAACACCCAACACCCTTGACGACGCCAGCCCCAGAGGGGCCATGGCTGGCGGGGCTCGCCTCGAATTGCCGAAGCCTTTGGGGCAAACGCTTTGGTCGAATCCAGCCGCGCGCGGGGCCAACGTTGGGGTACCTCTCCCCCGCTGGGGCTCTGCGTCGAGCATTGTGGTTTGGCGCAGTCGGCGCGCTGGTGCAAGGCGCGCGCGTTTGCGTGGCGGGGTGGGGGGTTGCGGTGGGGCAAGCGGGGTTCGGCAGAGTGGGTTTGGGGGTGTGCGGGTGGGGGTAGTGGTCGTGGTGGGGTGGTGGTGGTGCGTGCGTGTGCGGTGGGGTGGGCGTGGTGGGGTGGGGCGTGAGTGGGGCGGGTGCGTGTGTGTGTGTGTGTGTGTGTGTGGGGGGGGGCCATGGTGCGCGCCAGCGTCAGGGCCCTGCCGCGTGGCAAAGGCACCCGTGCATTGTCACAGCTGTGTGTGTGTGTGCGTTTACCGCACGGGCGCAGTGTTGCGACCGTGGTGCCCCGTGTTCGGGGTTCGCGCGTCAGCGCGTTGCGCGTGAACGCGCGTGGGTTAGAGTACACCAAACCGGTGGCGGTGGCGCAGCGCGCGCCGCCACTTGGGCAAGCGCCCCTCGTCTTCATGCCTCGTTCATCACAGTCGTAGTCAACATGGCCACCGTTATCAAATATCTAGCATTAACCGTTGCCTCCGCATGCGTTATCTACAGCACGCACGTAGTATCCCCACCGCCATTAAGCACGAACATCACTACACCACCTCCACATTGTTGCCCAGCACGTCACCGCAATCAGGCCGCAGCCGTTCGGGTCTTGTGATTGTGGCGGCCACCAGGTTCTGTTTAGTGTTTTCGCTCGGCCACGTGCGTTTGCGGCATGGCCATTGATTGCTCTGTTGTCGGGACTTTGAACCTCGTGATAACTGACGCCAACAAACCGACGGGCTACGAGTGTAGGATAGATAACGTTGACATCAAGTGTTCAGTGGTGATCATGGGCCCGCAGTACCGCGACCCGCCCGCACCGACAGACCTCGCGTCAGCAGGCTCAGACCCTCCGCACTTGCCTGAAGAGCTTGCCAAAGAGGAGCGGGGCGCCAAAGATGTGGAAGCCATCCAGCCTTCTGTCCCCGCCAATATTCAGCCAATTTATCATTACGAGCATTTGGAGTACGAGTCGGGCTGGAGAGCTGACCAGGCGCACTATGATGCAGAGGACCTTGCGACAGGGGGTGCGCCTGAGGAAGAGAGCCGTGGGGCTCCGCACGTTTCGTCGCAGTCTGTTGCCGAGAAGCAGTTTCAAGAAGGGTGTCTGGGTGCTGCGCCCATGATGCCCGAGGCGGGTTCGCCTGTGCCGTCTCGCGTTTGCGCCGAGTCCGCCGATGCGTTTGCAACAAAGGAGGTGGCAGGCACGCCACTTGCACCTTCGAGGCGGCCGCCTCACGGTGCCAAGCCATCTTCAGAGTGCTCCATCATTTCAGATAGCCCTCCGAAGCCGCCCACTGCAGGTGGCGACCTTCAGATGTCATCAGCCCTTTCTTCCAACGGTGCAGGCGGATCCACCGACGAGCATGCGCCTGCAAAGGTGGGTGGCTCGCGCGCGCCAGTGACACCCACTAAAGGTAGTGGCAGTAGGCCGAATGCCTCTCCCTCCAAGCGCCGCTGGAGCCTGGCGCCAGCCATGGGCGTGTCAGCCTCGGGCGGCCCTTGCGCTGATAGCAGCGCCAGTGTGGTGCAGAAGCGCCGCGTTGGCCCTCTCGGGCCCGCGGCCGACGATTCGCAGGGGGCCAACTTAATGGCGCAGCTCGGGCAGGTACTTGCACCTGCGAGCCAAATAGTTCGAGAGTGTGTTTCGCAGAGCTTCTGAGTTTGCGTGATTCGCCAGTGCAGTTGCCGAAGCAGCGTTTCCTTGATGACGACGGGCGGGAATACGACGATGACTGTAGCGGCACTGACGCCGACGATGAGGATAGGAGGTGGGCGAGCTTAGTGAGCCGACGACGCACAGCAGCATCCACATGATATTTTAAGCCGCGTTGGCCTCGTGCTGGCATTTTTTGTCCAGCGCCCGAGAGGCGATCCAGTGTAAATCAGTTGATGGCCAGAGTGGTCCGATCAGCATTGCGCCCGAGGTCGAAGGAGCTCCCCGCATCTCGATGAAGTCTGGGGCGGCACTGCCGCGTTGCGAGGGCTCGCAGCTGGAAGAGGTTGAATTCAATATGCCACCTCCGCAGTTGTAATATCCCTTCTTTCTTCGTGCAGTCCCCTTCATCGTGCACACTGTGCTTCTCTCTATCCTTCGCCCTCCGCCGCCACTCCTCATGCCTCTCACCCTCGCCCTTCTCACTCCTTTCCCTCCCGACTCCTCCATGCCTCTTCCTTCTCCTTGTCGTCGGACCCCCTGTCGGCCGATCTACTGTCGCCCTTTGGTTTTTGACCAACCCCCGCCCGCTCCTGCATCCTTCGCCGTTTGGTCCGATCTGGCTTTCCACCGGCCCCGCCGGCCCCTCAGGGGCTCTCATCGGCCCCTCAGGGGCCCGCTGCTGAACTTACAGTGAGCTTGATTTGGCAAAATCGGGTTTTCAGGTAGTCAGCGCATTGCTGCGACTGCCGTCGGCGTGTTCGAAGCGCCGTCCGTTTTGCCGTCCTGGATGTTCTTTGCCTCGGTTGGTCTTGATCCGTCTTAGGTCGGAGGAGGGGCGCTCTGTCTTTGGTGTCGCCGTCAGCGCCGCCGACCTCGCTACTTGAGTCCAATGTGCCACAGGGCCTTCCATATGAAGACAGATGTGCGCGGGAGGCTGAGCAGAGGACGAGTGAGGAAAGGAGGGGATGAGAAGGAGGATGCGGAACGATTGTCCAGCGTCTTTGATAACGCATCTGCCAGATAGGGAGGAGTCTCAGTAGCGCGCCAGGCACTTCGAAACCCTATCAGTGTCTTCAACGATGGTACACCGATGGTACTCTTGTGACGTCAGGGGTGGCCAACGTCAGATGCACCGTCGGTGTCCAGGGGGTCCCGCGGCTGCCTCGGGCAACCTCGGGGAGCCGTATAGATTCTTTGAGTGGGTGGTCGTTGCATTGGAGTTTGCATCGTGCGGCTCAGGGCGGTGCTTAGGTCACTGCCAAGAGCTCCTGGACAATAGCTTCGTCGTGTCTTTAGCCATTCTTGGAGGAGTCTTGGGCCATAACAGACGCACCAGAGGGTCATTTGGTATTGCTCGTGGGGCGTTCGGTTATATGTGAGATTACGCTTGTGGTTTCTAGAGCAGGGCCAGGAGCCCCTCTCGGCCATCGTTGGGCGCCTCTTGGGCTGCGACAAGGCTTTCGACGCTGAGGCGCAATGAAACCGCAATTGGCCATCTCGATGGAGGCGGCCAGACATCCATAGGTACGACATGCTAGGACGGATATTTGAAGCCACGCGTGCAATCAGTTTCTCCATGTACCCCTTCTGAGAATCGAGGGGGGGGCAATCTGCGCGTCCGCGTTTGCATTGCTCTGCATTGCCAGAGCAGCTCGGGGCAACTCTTGCGTTGGATTTGCTCGCACTCTTGGGGTGGGGTGTAGTTCGTCCCTCAGCGTTGCGTTGCATTCAGGTGGCGGTCCCACGTTTGCATTGCATGCGGTTGCTGAAGTATCACGTATCCCCCAAGCATAAGCACAGTCAGGCTTGATGCTCTTTGCGTGCTAGCCGTTTTGGCTCGGAGGTGAATCTGCCCCGGGCAGCCGCCAAGTTTTTTGGTTTTCGCGGCCAGCCACAGCCGCCCAGGAGTGCTTCGACTATCTGGCCGGAGCGGCAGCCAGCGATGGGCAAGCGCGCTGCTGCGCAGCCGCGCGCGGCGAGAGCCCCCCGTCGCGGTGGTGGCGCCAGGGGCAGCGCCGCCGCTTCGGACAGCGCTTGGTGCCAGCGCTGCGAGGTGCCCGTGGACGTGGCGACGTCCAAGCGGGGTGGAACTTCCACAGCTCCGTGGCTAGCCTGCGACTGCTGCTGGCTGACCCACGAGCGGCACTTCAGCGGGGATGCCGCCTGGCCCGACATCGTCGAACGCTGCCGCGAGGAGCCAGAGTTCAACGGCGACTTCGAGGCTCGGGCCGCAGCAGACATGGATTTGGAGAGCCAGATCGCCGCAGCAACGGAACGTGGGAGCGTGGAGGTGCACGCGTACTACGGCCAGGAGGTCAGCACCAGCATGGTGCAGCTCACGCCTAAGCAGTGGAGCACGCAGGTGGTCCCGCGCGGGGTGGTTGGCATGACTCCCGAGAGTTGCGACCAGTACCAGTCTCGCGTGCCGTCATCTTGCCAGCCAGGGGTGAACACGACGGGAGTGATCGTTGCGGACCCAGAGCACCCGTACGTCAGCATCAAGAACTACACGAGGACGGAGGTGAAGATGGCAATAGTCAAGCTGACGCCCCAGCAGGCCGTGAAGACGGGTGCGGAGATGGAGTTTGTGAAGCGGGAGGTGACGAGGTTGCGCCAGAGTCAGGCGGTTGCCGTCAGAGGGTTCAGCAAGGTCCCAACGATCACAGAGTTGCAGCAGTTGGCTCACGCGAAGGCTTCTACATCTGGGATGCTTCCCAAGGCGCCGCCGTCGAAGCCACGTGGTCCTGGGCACTCTGCCCCGCTTCCGATCGAGAACGGCCGCGTGGAGGACGAGTCGGAGACCGCCACCAGCTCTCTAGGCGCTAGCGGCCGCCTGAACGCTGCAGGTGATGCTGTGCCAACGGGAGCTCCCGTGGCCAAGAGTCCAGACAGCCTTGCCAGCGGCGTGGGCCAGGGGGGGGGCGCCAGGCCAGCCTCCGCCAAGTCGGCGCCAGTCGCGTCGAGCTCGTCGGTGGTGCCCAGGGGCAGCGTCGCCTCCGCCTTGGACCGCAGTGGACAGCAAGTGCGGCGCTCCGAGTCAGGAGAGTTGCTAGATCTCCCTCGGGACAGGTCAAGGTCTCCAGTAGGGAGCGTTGCCTGCTCCGTGGTCGAGTCTGGCTCTGGCGGCAGGGGCAGCAAGGCGGGGCCCCCTGGTTCTGCTGAGAAGGCGCGCTTCGACGGCTACAAGAACGACTTGGTGATCCACGAGATCTTGGATGGGAGCCTCAAGGGGGACCGATCCTACGGCCTGAAGAGGTTCAAACCGAAGTCGGCCAGCCTGGCCGTGATGGCAGCCAAGCTTCATACGAAGGTGGAGGCGGCGAGCGCCTTGTCCAGCAACCTCGACAGCATGGAGTGGCCCCAGGTGGTCCATCACTTGAAGGAGCTCACCACGCAGGATGTAGAGGCGTCGACTTTATTTCGCAAGGCTCTCCTGAAGAGGTTCGTGAAGCAGGCCTTGAACGAGGACGAGATGGTGATTGAGGCTTTGACGCCATGGACGCCCTTCCCCGATGAGTTCGACGTCACCGCGCCCAAAGCTGCGTCCATGAAGAACCTCAGCACGACTGAGATGATCGAGATGTTGCGTGAAATCATATTGGGCGTCGTCGTGCTGCCCCAGTTGCTTGACGCCAAGAGGGTTCCACATCTGCAGCATTGTGGCAAGCTGCTCGCGGAGGCGTTCCACATCACGAGCGACTACCCTGGGGATATGAGGGGCTTCAGCGAGCACGTCGTCGCGCTTGGCATGCCGCTGCACCACTTGCCGAACAATGATCCCATGAGCTTCTCAGAGTGTGGGCCTTTCATGCCGAAGATGATCGCGCTGCTGACTGGCGTGTGCGAAGATCCCGAGTGGCACCCCTTGTCAGAAGTGATGGGCAATTCCGAGCCGTGGTCACACTACAAGGCGAGTTTCAGGCGCGCGGCCTCCACCGACATCCAGATTGCCCCCAAGATGAAGCAGATCGTCGACGACCTCGAGCAGGTAAGGTGCAACATGGACGGCATAGTGTTCATGCGCACGGTTGTCGGGGAGATCGAAGCTTGGAGAAAGACATGCCGCGGAGCATCGAAGTCGACCCACGTCGCAGAGAGCACCTTGTTCAAGAGGATGGAGTATGTCGCCAAGGAAATCCTGAAGCAGAGCGTGGACACAGTTGACAAGAAGGTCGGGACGGCGCTGCTGGAGGTGTTCGCCAACTTCGCACGCGTCAAGGGGTACGAGCAGGACACAGCTGACGATCCGTTTGATGGCATGCACCATGCCCTGGCCACCCACCTGGACCACTCTGCGAGGATGTGTGTCGAGAAGGGCTGGAAGGACCACGTCGAGAAGTACCTCAACGCGGATGCCCACGAGGAAGTGTTCCACCAGATCAAGCTGTTCTTGGCGGAGCACAGGAACGTTCACGTACCTGTGCCAGAGGACGGTTCTCTCATCATACGGGCCGCTTGCCACGTGATCCAGAACATCGGCCTCTTGACGGCTGACCTGAAGCTTGAGCAGGTGGGTTCTTGCGAAGCGATGGTCGCGGACGCGATCGACAAGCACGTCGTCGCCACTGAGATGATGTTCACAGTCGAGCCCTCGGACGCCACCAAGCTGGAGCTGGCAGCGCTCCAGGCAAGGCTGGCGGACGTCTACGCGGTCATCGGGGTTGCGAAGCACGCCAGGGAGTTCTACGAGACGACCGCCGCCAGCACGGTCGAGCTTCGCAAGCCCTGGGAGAAGCTCGACTCGGCGCTCGGGGCACTACCAGCCAAGGAGTCCGAGCAGTACGACGAGGTCTTGAGGACGAAGTTGCAGGCCATCAGCTTCGAGGAGTTCACGTCGACGACCTCGAACTGGAAAGAGATCGGCCTGCATCTGGCCACCGAGTACTCACAGAGCACATTCGAGAGCTTGGTCGAGAAAGGCCAGCTGACGGCCCAGGGCCTCAAGAAGATCGCGGGTGGCATGCAGAATGGCTCCAACTACCTGGACGGCTACAGCGGCAGCCTCGAGAGCTTCGACGAGCTGATGGCTTGGATGAAAGCCACGTTGTTCAAGCAGCTGGGCCTGGCGACGAGGCTGAAGCAGTCGCACACAGAGCTCCTCCACCAGCTGGCTGAGCTCGAGGTGGAGGTGGCCAGCCTCAAAGTCTCATCGGAGAAGTGGGCGCCCATCCGCGACGAATGGAAGTCGTTGCTGAAGATAGCGGATATCACGCTCACGGCGGCGTCGTTGGCCCAGCTGCTGAATGATAAGACGAAGAACGACGGCGTCACCAAGGACGGCCTACAGCGTGCCATCGACAGCATGCAGGGCCGCGCGGTGGCGATCACCGACATCCCGCAGGCGCTGTGGGAGGCGGCCCAGCAGCGCCTGTCGCAGCAGGCGCGACGGCGCCCGCGGGCGGCCGCTTGAGGAGGAGGAAGAGGAGGAGCAAGAAGAGGAGAGGGAGAAGGGAGGAAGGAGGACAAGGAGGAGGACGAGGAGGAGGAAGAGGAGAAGGCACGGCAGCACCAGGACGAGAGAAGACGGCGGCGGCTCTGCGGCAGGAAAACCTTTTTTCTGCCTCCCGTTGCTCTGCTCGCTCTCCTTACTTCCCGCTGCTTCTCCTGCGCGTCTCCTTTCCCTCCTTCCCCCCGTTCCTTCCCTTTCTCCCCCTGCCCGCTTCCCCCTTCCCCCCTCCTCCTCCTCTTCCTCCTCCCTCTCCTCCTCCTCCTCCTCCTCCTCCTCCTTCTTGCCTGGCTCAGGCTACTTATCTGGCCCAGCCTCGGATGCGATAGACGTCGACGCTGGCGTCGACCCCGCCTCGGGACCGAAAATCTTTGAAGGCCAACGCTGCCATGCCTGATTTTAGGCGCCTCGGCTGGGCGCGAAACGGCCCATGGCCATTCGTGAGGCCCCTTGGGGGGGGCCATGGTGCACACCCTGGACACCTCAGTAAGGCCATCATAACCCCATGGCACATTTCCTCCATCAAATGTCATGTCAGACCCCACCAACCAATAGACTGCCACGGGAACTCTCAAGACTACGCGGTGCCAGCAGAAGTCAAGCTGGAGCCGCGACCGAGGCGCCCGTCGTGTTCAGCCAATGGCACCGACAGGCCCAGAACGCCATCAAGTTTTGGCGGATCGCTTACGGGCGCCAACACGGACCAGAGAGGTACGCCGCACTCGAGAGCTTGAGCACGACGAGGACGAGTACCCCTCGAAGTATACGTACACGGGCTGTGGGAGGAGCTCAATGCGGCCTGGCGCGAGCAGCTGCGGTAGACACGTCGGGCGATGTGTCTCCTGCTCGGCACGCAGCACCCCAGGCGCTGGCCCCCGCGGGCCCCGGCGGCCAGGCAGCTTTCAAGTTCCCGAACGTCTTCGACCTAGACGACCCTGGCGGCTACTGCCAGATTGTCCGCACCCCCCGGAATGAGCGCAAGCTGCGCAAGCTCTTCAACCGCAGCTTGCACGGGCTAGGTCCGAAAGGCCCGATCCGCGTTGGGGGCGCCGATGGAGACGAAGGGCAGGGCGCCGGGAGCGCCCCGGGCGCTCGCTTCCCGCCGCCCGAGGCAGGCGCGAAGGCCGGCGCCGGGAGGCGGCCCAAGACGCCCAAGACACCAGCGGGCGGGGCACCGCCCAAGAAGCCCCACCCCGCGGGAAAGAGGCTCGCCGCAGGAGAGATCACGCAGTCAGCGCAGCACGCCCCCCGCAACCGAGCAGGCAAGATCCTATGCTGGGATGCCTGCGCATGGATGGGCTGCCCCAAGGCCAGCCAGACGTGCGCGCACGCGCGCGAGGCCATCAAGGGCATGGGGGGCCTGCAATGGACCGTGCAGGCGCAACTGGTCAAGCGCGGAGCCGAAGGGCGTGGACGGGCGCGCGCAGCAGCTGCGCGCACAGGCCAAGAGCGAGGACGAATCCAAGCGAGCCGGGGCCGCCCAGGCACAGACAGGGGCCGCGCCGGCGCAACCCAAGACCGCTGCACGGACCCCACCAAGGCGCGAGGGCTGTGCTGGGCTGGAGGTCGACTGGAATGCCCCGGCGGCCTACGACGAGATCAAGTGCACCGCGATGGAGTACGATTTGAGGGAAGCGGTATCATTTTCGGTAGTGCGTTGCTGCTGTAAGGGGTAGCTTAGTTGTTTGGTCAAACGCTAGGCTCTCCCTGACCCCAGGAATGCGTGGGCTGTTTCCCTGCCCTTTTTTCCTTCCTCTTCGCTGTCCCTTCCTCTTGCTCGTCCCCGCTCAAGGTTTCTGGGTCAAGCTGGCCCACCCTGGGACCCAAAGGGGTCCTCCCTGCCTTGTGTTTCGGCTTTGCCAACGCCCGACATTTGTTCGGGCGGCGGCAGAGCCCGCTTGCGCGTGGCGGAAGGTGGAGCGCACGGCTGCGCACACGCATCGGCCAAATCCTCATATTCCCCATCTTCATCCTTTTTCGGTAGTGCGTTGCTGCTGTAAGGGATAGTTCGAAGGGAACGTTTAGTCTTCGGAGCATGTCTTGGGGGCTTCACTTGGCCGCCTTGGGGCCCACTTGGGATGGTTTCGGGCCACTTAAGAGGTCTCTCGGGCCGCCTTGGGGCCTCCCTGGGGCCGTTTACGGGCCTTCTTGGCTCGTCTCGGAGCCTTCTTGGAGACCGTCTTGGAGGCCTCTGGGGCCGTCCGAGGCTGTCGGAAGCTCGAAACGGCGATTGCTTTAAAAGGATAGTTGAGCAAGCATGCTAGCCAGCGTGGACCCCAAACAGCGCTGTATTTCACTGTGGAGGTGTAAGCTATAGGGTTAAGTTATGTCGTGTAAGCTATGTGGTGCGAGCTACGGAGGTGAAAACTATGCTGTGCAAGCTATGTGGTGCGGTGCAAGCTGGGCGCTGTGTGAACTGAGGGCGAACGCTACTAGGTACAAGCGATGTGATGTAAGCTACGTTGCAAAGCATGCGGTGTAAGCTCTGTGGTGACTATGTCATGTAAGCTCAGAACACGAGGCGCCCACGAGGCGGCGCGGGTGGCAACGTAGCGCAACCTCGAGGAACCCACCCAGCGGGGCGCCCACGAGGCGCCAACCAGGCGACACGGGCGGCTACTTGGCGCAACCGCGGAAAACTTACTCAGCGGACTGGGCGGCAACAGGACTCCCACGAGGCGGCACCGGCGGCGACGTGGCGAAGACCAAGCAAAGCCATCCATTTACTTCAGTCACCGACGTAAGAACTTCTGAGTGCCAAAATGGTTTGGCGAGCAGTGACTACCCATTCACTTGAGCCCCTCTGGGAACCTTCTGGATGTCCTTCTCCAGCATCTCGGAGCGCCCCAGCACCATTTCGGGCCGTCTTGGGTCCATCTTGGGCCATCTTGGTGGCACATTGTGGCCATCTCGGGCTCTCCTGGAGTCAAATGGGACATCTTGGAGACGTTTGGGAACCGTCTTGAAAGCCATCTTGGCCGTCTTGGAGACGATTTTGAGGTGCCTTCATGTGGCCGTCGGGTCAAGCCGATGGCCATTGGGAATTATTCTGAAAATATTGAAAAGATTAAAGCACTCAGCAAGCCCAGCATCCCAGTGATAAACACAGGGGGCGGCGGATTGAAGACTCCTACGGCGAATCACTCTCCCCCTTGCCTTCTGGAAACGAAGTCTTGGCGAAGCTATTAGAATATGTGTCTCCCAGCCATTGTGGAACCCCGTGGGGGAACACTTGGGAGAGGAAGTGAAATGAGTAGGAGTGGGAGGAGAAGAAGGAGGAAGAGAAGAAGAAGAGGAGCTCTTCGGCTTCGGCCCGTTTTGGCTCGGGCCCGTTTCGGCTCTGGCAAGTTTCAATTCCTGGTGGCGCCAGCCGGTTTCGGCTTCGTCCAGTTTCAGTTTCGGCCCGTTTCGGCTTTGGCAAGTTTCGGCTCTTATTGGCGCCGATTGGTTTCGGTTTCGGCCCTTAACCGCCTCGGCCCGTTTCGGCTTTAGCCCGTTTCGGCTTCGGCCCGTTTCTCAATCGGTCAATGTTTTTGTTGCGTTAGTTGTGGCGCCTGTTCGGCCACTGGTGTCATGAAATTGCCCAGGCGAGCGCATGGGACACCGGGTTTGTGATACTCCCCTCTCCTTGCCCCCGCTTTCGTCATCTTCGACAGGCGCCGTGGGCACCAAAGCTGTGATATCCAGGAGGGGGGTGTCCGCTTGGTTGGTTCGGTAGAGGGTGGCCTTTTCTACCCAGCTCCTTCCTTTCCGCTCCCACTCCACCCGTTCCGTTTTTCCTTACTGGTCCTCTCCCCTCGGCCTTGCCCGTCCCCGCGGAGGCAAACCAATGCGGCGGGGGAGGACGAGGAGGAGAAGAGAAGGCATTGGCCCAGGAGCAGGCCTCAGGTGGCAGGCCTTTGTGGGCCAATTCTTGCCCAGCGGTCACATTCTGCCACCGCCATGTCCGTCCCACACACACACACACACAATCTCATCTCAGGCGAAACGCGCCAGACCACCTCGCGCGCCGCAGGTCGGAGCGCAGAGTTGTGAGATTGTCTCACGCGAAACGCGCCGGACCAGCGCGCGCGGCGTCTCCGAGCTCAGCATTGGGAGGATGTCAGGCGAAACGCTCAATCCCGGCCTACTCGGAACCGATAGTTGTGACAATGTCTCAGGCGAAACGGCCGGGAGTTCCAAATTGTTTGGAGGATGTCTGTGCTGGGCCGTTCCTCGGGCGGCATTCGTTTTTTTCGCAATTCGCAACAGCGCCACGTTCAGCAAGTTGTTTGGAGAAATAATCAAAAACAACCAAACGCCCAGCATGCCGTGCACCCCTTTGGCAAGCCACAAGGGGCAGCGGATGTAGCGGCCTTCGGCCCATGCCGCCATTGCACTTGGGTTGGAGGTCGCAGGCTTTCTGGGTGTGTAGGGGCCTCTGGGGCCTCTTGGGAGTCTCTTCGGGACGGTTTTGCGGGTGTCTTGGGGCGTCTCCAAGGGGCCTTGTGGGCCTGATTCTGGTATCTTGGGGGCCTCCTGGGGGCCCCTTGGGGGCCTCTTAAGGGCTTGCTGGCGGACGTAAGGCGCGCAGTCTTGCGGCCCTCTTGCGGCCGTTTTGGGGGTCTCTTGCGGCCGTCTTGGAGCCCCTTGGGTCGTCTGAGGGCACATGTTGGGGCCTCTTCGGCCATCTTGGGGCAATCTTCGGGGCCGTGCAGCGTCGGAAGCTCGCAGAGGCGAGAATGCTACGCAAAATCATTCGAACCTCGGGAGAAACAATGATTTTGTCCTTTCGGTGCCCTCGTGGGTGACCTCTTGGAGCTCTCTCGGGTGCTCTTAAGGGTCACTTGGGCCGTCTGGAGGCCATCTTAGGGGTCTTGGAGCGATCTTCGGGCGACGCGAAGCACTCTCCGGCCGTCTTGGGGGTGGGCTCCTGGAGCCCTGCGGGCCCGCCTTAGAGCCTTTTAGCCTCTGGAAAAAGAGCGCGAGAAGAGGCGACAAGTGAAGTCCCGCAGAATCCGAGAATTTGGGGTCCAGGGCGTGCAATAGTCCATCCTCAGGTCCGAGGGCCGAGGGTTCAACGGATTTGACGGCACTCCACCTCGTGGCTCGCGGCACGGTGGGAGATAGGTTTCTTATCGGCGGCGAGACCTTGGATCCCTTTCTTCTTTTTGTGGGCCACTGTGTGTCTATGCGCAGGTGCTAGTGCGTCCGCTCGCCTCACTTCTCGCTTGCAATATGGAGCAGTGGTCAGAGGGTGCCACAGCAAACATGGCTGACGTGCCACCTGCTCACCCTTGGAGACAGCTCCACGCGAAGCATAGAAGGAAAGACTCATTATTGATTGCCCGCGAATCTTTTCCTGTGCAGACAGCCCGTAGCCGTGACGGTTCAAGAGAGCCCGCCAGTTCCAGCAGGGCGCTCGCGAGCCGAGGCAGCGGCTGCGGCCGCGCGGATGTTGTGCCGTGTGAGGTGCCGGCCTGTCTGCTCGCGCGCGCCGCGGGCGGCACCGCCGTGTTTACGACGTGCATTTGGTCCGCCAGCCGCTGCGGCAATCAGCGGGCCGCGTCGCGTCGGGCGACGAGGCGCGTGGCGCGGCGTTGGTGCGGCGTCCGCTGGGCCAGCGCGTGGAGGAAGGCGCGCGTTTGTGAGCCCGAGCGCGGCCCTCCAGTGGACTCCTGGCCACACCGAGCCGCCAGCTGCCGCTGCGGCTTTCCTAGAGCGCTTTTTCGACGACGACAACGTGCTGCACCTGTACGGCATACAGCGGGCGCTGCTGGCGCCGGAGGTGGAGGAAAGGGCCCAGGCAAGGGACGGCGTGCAGCACGTGGAGCTGCGCTGGCACATCGGCGGAGCCCGCCACCAGGGCCAGGGCGCTGCCCGCGGCAGGCGCGCGGCGCGCCGGCAGGCGGCCCGGCGGCTGCTGCGGGGCTTGCCAGTGGCAGAGGCTGCTGCCGCGCAGATGAGGGCGCAGCTGCTGAGCGGCGCGCGCGCCCGCCTCCGAGCTGAGGTAGTGGAGGACGGCCCAGTGCGCGGCAGCGCCCGCGCTGAGCCCTCAGAGGCGATGCACCGTATCTCGTGGCGCGTGCCACGCGCCGGGGGAGGCCCGCCGGCAGGGTTGTCGGCGGAGGGCGCCGGGCCCTGCGCCGCGGAGGCTCAGGCGCGCGCCCAGGAAGAACTGTTCCTGCGTGCCGAGCGCCTCCTCCGTCAGGCAGCCTCGCCGCATGCGGCCAGCGAAGAGGCCGAGCTTCACGAGGCCAGGGAGAGGCGCGAGGAGCACTTAAGGCAGGGCCTCACAGCTCTCTGCCACGATGCCGCGGGGGAGCTGATTGCGCGGCACAACGCCGTAATGCAGCGCCATCACATTAGAGCTCGCGAGGAGTGCGTCGAGCATCGCTCTGGGTTCCTGTCCACCCTCCGGTGGCACTGGCGGGACGAGGGTGGCGGGGCGCGGTCCAGCAGCACGAACGGCGCTGGGCCCACACGCAGGGCGGCGCGCGGCGAGTCCGCCCGCCGGATGCTCGTGGAGCAGGGCTTTGCCGAAGATGTGTCGGTCGAGGCGTTGAACCAAGCCGCGAGGGTCCGCGGCCTGGCCAGGGCCAGGGACGAGGCCACAGGCCCAGCCGCGTGCGCTTTCGTGGAGGCGCGGCCGCCAGAGGCGTGGGGCCTGGCGCTTCCAGAGGCGTGGCGACACGCGCTCGCTCTTGGCGGCGCGAGCACGGCGGAAGCGCTGGCAGCGTCAATGCGGCGGAGTCTGGAGCGGCAGGGCGACGCCAGCGGGGCGCCCGGGGTGCCTTCGCACTTGTGGGAGCAATTGCTGGACGCTTGTGCCCACGTGGCGTCTGGGGACGTGGCACGCGGTGCGCTGGCGGCGCTGGGCGGCCTGGAGCTCCAGCACGGCCCCTTCGGCTCCGCGGCGCAGCGCGAGTACTTCAAACACTTCAGGATGCTGCTCGCATGGGAGCGGGTTGGCGCGAATTTGGCTGCGATCGCGGAGGTGGGCGCGGGGGAGACAGGCATGCTGATGCCCAAGGAGAACTGCACCCTGCCGCACCTCGCGCTGAGCGCGAGCGGAGACGCCGCGGCGGAGCTTTTGCTGGCAGACGTTCGGGTAGGGGACGTGATGTTGGTGCAACCCGTCAGGGAGGAGGTCCCGCACACAGCTGCACACCCAGCTGTGGGGTCAGGGCATCTGGGCGTGGTAATTGCGATCTCGGTGACGGACGTCGGGTCTGGCAAGTCCTCCGGCAAGTTGTCCATTCGTTGTACGACGCTCACTTCGTCCGACCTGCAGGCTGACATATTTTGTGTCTTGAGCCTCTGTTCGGAGGTGTCCCTCCTCCGAACGGTCTTCGCCCTCCATGCGCTGGCCGGGCCAGCTCCCGCCCGCGACCAGCCGCGGCCTGGCAGGGTTGGGATCGGGCAGACGCAGTTCTCGCCCGCGATGCGCGCCATCTTGCTGGACAGCACTGACCCCGAGGGCCGCGAGCGGGCCATGGCGATGGCTGGCGCGTTGCCGCCGGGCTGCAAGTGGGCCGACCCCAGTGGCCTCGAGCGCTGCCTCGCAATGGTGTTGCGCGCGGCCGACGCCAGGGGCACTCCACTCAGCGGGGCGCAGGCGGGGGCTGTGGAGAGCTCGCTGCGGAGGTCCCTGACTTTGATCCACGGCCCGCCAGGGACTGGGAAGACCACAGCGGCTGTCTGCGTGGTTTTCGCATGGAGGCCATTAGGGCAAAAAATATCCAGCTGCCTGCGGCAAACCCCGCAAACGTGCCAGCACAGGAGCGCAGCAGGCAGGATATTGATGTTAACAACGTTCCGGCTCAGCGCCCTGTCTGCATTGGCCCGGGTCTCAAACGCCCCTTCCTTATGTCGGGCTTCGCTCTCTTTCACCAGTTATTTTTCTTATAGCTCCTTGTCGCACCCCGAGACTTGTCGGTAGGGCTGGCTGGGCGTTCCGTTTGAGATGTTTTGGCAATTTATGATTCTGAAGTTTAGAGAACAGCAGCTTCACGGATGGAGGTCGCGTGGTTCTCAGAATGTTGGTCTTGTCTTAGTGCCGTGCACATTCGTTTAAATGTTTTGTTCACGAATTTCACGGGTGGAGGGCGGGTGGTTTTCATAATTTGGTTATTACCTCAGCGTCGCACGCATGTGTTTCAAAAGTTTGTTTAGAGCTTCACGGATGGAGGGCGGCTGGATTTCAAAATGTGATTATCGCCATAGCGCCGCGCACGTTCGTCTGACGAGTTCGTAAGAGTTTCACCGATGAAGGGTGGTTCGTTTTCCAAATGTGGTTGTCGTTTCAGTTTCGCGCATCTTCGTTTCACAAGTTTGCAAGAATTGCACGGATGGAGGGATGTTGGTTTTCGTAATTTCGTTATCGTTTCAGCGCGGCACGTGTTTGTTTCAAACGTTCGCAGATGGAGGGTGGGTTGTTTTCAAAATGTGGTAATCGCCGTAGCGCCGCGCACGTGTGTCCGAAAATATTCCAAGAGTTTCACGGATGGAGGGCGGCAACATGTGGTTGCCGTTTCAGTTCCGCGTACATGCGTCTCAATAGTTTGCAGGAGATTCGCGGATGGAGGGCGGTTGGTTTTCAAAGTGTAGTTCTCGCTCTAATGCCACACACATTCGTCACAACGCTTTGTAGGAGCTTCACGGACGGATGGCGGGCGGTTTTTACAATGTGGTTGGTGTTCGGTTTGGCGCCGCACCCATTCGTTTCAAAAGTTTGCAAGATATTAACCGATGTGAGGCGGGTGGATCTCCAACAGTGGTTCTCGCTCTAGCGCCGTACGCACGCGTCTAACACATCCAAGAGTTTCACGGATGGAAGGCGGGCGGTTTTCAAATGTTGGTTCTCGCCGTAGCGTTTCCGACATTCGTTTTAAAGTTAACCAGGGTTTCACTCATGGAGGGCGGGTGGTTTTCAAACATTGGTTCTTGTCTCAGCGCCGCGCGCATTCGTTTTAAAACTTCGCAATAGTGTCATGGATTCAGGGCGGGTGGCTTTCAAAATGTGGTTCTCTGCCTCGCGCCGCGCACATTCGCTTCAAGCGCTTGCAAGACTTTCACTGATGCAGGGCGGATGGTTTTCAACATTCGGTTCTCGTCGTAGGGCCGCGCACATGCGTTTCAAAAGTTCGCAAGAGCTTCACGGATGGAGGGCCGTCAGTTTTCAAAATGTGGTCCTCGCCTCAGCGATTCCCAAGTGCGTTTTCCAAAAGTTTGCAAGAGCTTCACGGATGGAGGGCGGGTCGTTTGCAGAATGTGGTCTTCGCTGCAGCGCCGCGAACGTTCATCCGACATGCTTGCAAGAGCTTCACAGATGGAGGGCAGGTGGTGTTCAAATAGTGATTCTCGCTTTGACGCCGCGCTAATTTGTTTGAACATTGCACGAGATTCACGGATGGAGGGCGGGCAGTTTTCAAAATGTGGTTGTAGCTTTTTGCGCTGCGCGCATTCGTTTTAGAGGTTCTGCAGCAGTTTCATGGATGTGGGGGCGGTGGTTTTCAGAATGTGGTTCTCGCTTTGGCGTTGCGCGCGTTCGTTTTCAATGTCTGCAAGAGTTTCACGGATTGCCATGGATGACGTCCCAGAAATCGTGTTCAAGCACGAATTAGGACTGTCCGGGCGCAACTGTCACGTTGATTCGCGGCGTTGAAGTCCAAGGAGTGGTGTTTTGGCACAGCGGGGCCTTTTCCAGCTGTTCAAAGCCATCTTTGTAGGAGTTCATGAAGAGGGAGTTGGAAGGAGGGTTTCTTGCACCATCGGTGATGCGCCTTGGTTTTACACTTGTCTTCCTCCTCCTCTTTCCGTTTTCCTCTTTCGTCGTTTCCTCTTTCGCCTCCTCTTGAAGGGATCTCGGAATTTTATTGGGATCTTCTTTGGAGCCTCTTAGGGTCATCCTGGGTGCCGTTTAAAGGACCGTAGGGAGCATGATGGGGGTCCGTCTCGGTCCCGGTCCCAACCCATCTTGGACGCGATGCGTCCACCCAGCTCTCTCGCAGAGATTCAGCTGAACTATCTCGCGGAAATCATGACGGGTAGTGGTGGTGTGCTTTCTTAGAGTTTTTTGTGACGGTTTTGGGCTGTCTTTGGAGGTTCTCGGGAGCTTCTCGAGGTTCGCTGCAGTTTCCCCGAGGCGATCAATGTTGACTTTGGTTGTTGTCCTTTGGTTTTGCCTCCTGAGGGCCTCGCTGGAGGCCTCTTTCGGGCGCTGGTTTGGAGCCTGCTTCGGAGCACATTGGAACCGCCTGGGGCCATTGGGCCGTCTTGGGTTGGTCTTGGGACATCTTGGAGCGGTCGTAGATCGCTCTTGGGCCGTCTTGGAGCCCGCTAGAGGCCGAAGTGGCAAGGACAAATCATTAATAATGGTTTTCATAGCACGCTTCTTGTGGAGGAGGGCCGCTCCTGGAAAGTTGCTTGACACACTCCCTAGTAACAAGCATTCTAATTCAAAGGCGCCAACGTGCCGAAGGTACCGGATCCAGTTGCATTCGGTCCGTCCCGCCCCCCAATCCGCGCCTGAGCAGCGCTGTGCTTCTATAGCGCGGCGTGGCCGTAATGCTGCTGTTGCATTGTTTTTTGGACCGGAGCCGCCTGGGGGCTTCTGGGGAGTTCCCGAGGCCATCCGAGCCATCCGGGGGAGGTTCTTTGGGGGGTCTGGGTGTCTTAGGACAGACTTGACAGGGATAAGGGTGCACTTTCAGGATGTATTCCCCAGGTCCGTGTTTGAAACCCCGCTGGCGAATCTCATGGGGCTCTCTTAAGGCCAGCAGAGGACCTCTCGGGCATCTCTTGCGGCCTTGCAGGGCCCCCCGTGAGGGCCTCTCTGGGATATCGTGGGGCAACGCTGAATCTCATGAAGTTTATATCAGGCTGAAGAGGCGACAAGGGCAAAGTTCATTGTAACACAATGTGCATCAGCTTGTTTCCCTGGGAGGCTCCACCTTAGGGCCATCGTTGGGCCACCTTGCGGCCTTTGGGGGCCACCCCAGAGGCCAAGTTGGGGCATTTTGGGCTACTTGAGAATATCGAGCCACCTTGAGGAATGTATTTACCAGTGCTTGCCATTGCGGAGCCTGCCTTGCGACCACGGACGCCACAGAACCCCCAGCAATCCCCGTGAGCCGGGGTCCGCGACCAAGACGACGCAATAATATTGTCAGGATATCGGAACAGTTTGGACCTTGGGATGTTAGAATTGTGGCCAAGGGCTCAGTGGCGGATTGTGCGTGGCCGATTCAAACGTGGCCGCGGACAACCTGCACGCGAGCTTGGAGAGGTGGGGCATCAGTTCGCTTCGCTTCACCCTGGGCCAGCCCGAGCATGCCAGGGAGGGCGTGAACAACTTGCCAGCCGCGGCGACGGGAGGCGCCCAACGCCGCGCCGGAGGTTCTGCGGCCCAGGGAGCCACCGGCGCCGCGCAGAGGCGTTTGCTGGCGATGAGGGCCGCGGTCGCCGAGTTCCAGGTCGTCGTGACAACGTGCAGCTCTGCTGGGCACGAGATGCTGCACGAGGTCGGATTCCCACGAGTGCTGGTCGACGAGAGCACGCAGTCGGTAGAGCCGTCCACGCTGGTGCCTTTAGGGCACGGGTGTGAGCATTTGGTTCTGGTGGGCGATCCCAGGCAGTTGCCACCCACAGTAATCAGTGAGGAGGCGCGGACCGGGGGCCTAGAGACCTCTCTCTTCGCCCGGCTCTCTGCTGGATGGCTCGCCCGGCGCGACGGCGACGGCGAGCCCCGCGGGATCGTTGAGCCTGTATTGCTGGACGAGCAGAGGCGAATGCACCCGTCCATCGCGTTTTTCCCCAACCGCATGTTTTACGGCGGCCGCGTCAGGGACTGCGCGCCCGAGCGGGCTCCTATCCCCGGTATCCCATGGGCCGCGGCGGGCCAGATGAGGGTGCTTTTGGTCGACGTTGGGTCAGAAGCTGGGGCCTTTGAGGAGCAGGTAGGCACATCCTGGCGCAACTCGGCAGAGGCCGCGGCCGCCGTGGAGCTCGCGGTATGGGTCGCCAGAGGCGCCATTGCCGACGTCGCGCTGCTCACGCCGTACTCGAGCCAGAAACAGGCACTGCAGGAGGAGCTCGCCCGGCACCTTTCCGCAGACGGCGACTTGGACAGGTTGGCGACCGTTGGGCGGGTGCAAGTCTCCACCGTGGACGGCTTTCAGGGGGCCGAGCGCGACTTGGTGGTCTTCTCTGCGGTACGGTCGAACGACGCCGGCCGACTTGGCTTCTTGGCCGACGAGCGACGCGTCAACGTGTTGTTGACGCGCGCGAGGCGAGGGGTGGTCGTATTTGCTTGCGCATCCACGCTGGCGAGAGCTGGGGCGGGCATCTGGGCATCCTGGCTGCGATGGGTGACCGAGGTTGGAGCGGTCATCACGCTCGCGGAATTCCGCTCGTGCCGCTCTTCCTTTGTTGCGTCGAAAAAGTTACAGAACGGGTGCCAGATAGGCGCGTTTCTCACAGTGCAGGGGGATGCCGGGCAGAATATAAGGAATTCTAGATGCTTCCCGTAACCCCACCAGCTTCCGACGCCCTGCACACCTGCACGCTGGCAGTTCGATTCAGTCTCAGTCACCCCTTCCACCCGCCCGCCGCTGGGCCGCCGCGTGAGGCCTCGGCTTGCTGCTTTAGACGTGGCTTGCCCCCGCTGCCTTCGCTTAATTCGTCTCGGCGTAGCCCGCTTTGACCTGACTCGCCGCCGGCGCGCTCGCCCGCGGCCGCTGACTAAAAAGTAACCCCACCAGCCCATCCAGAAACGATGCCCAGAGGAAGTGCCCCGATCAGGGAAGTGGGCAGCACACAAAGGAAAGGTCCCCCAGTGGAGGCCTCTTGGAGCGTCTTGGGGGCCTCTTGGCGGTCCCGGAGAAAGTCTTGGGTGCCTCGGAGAGTTTCTTGGGGCCTCTTGGGGGTCTCTTGGGGGCCTCTTGGAGGCCTCTGGGGCGCCTGTTGGGGCCTCCTGGGGTCTCCTGGGCGCCTCTTGGGGCCCTCCTGAAGCGCTCTTGGGAGCCTTGGGAGCGCTCTTGGAGCCCTCTTGGGCGATCTTGGAGTCATCGTGAAGCCTCGGATGGCCATCGGAAGCGAAAAGGCGAGAAAGCCCAAGACATTGATTTTCCTTAGGTTTGGGAAGGTTTTTGGCCACTTCGGGGCCTCCTGGGGGAGCTCTTTGGCCACTTGGAGCCGTCTTGAAGCGGTCTTGGGCCTCATGGAACATCGTGGGAGCCATCTTGAGGCATCTTGGGATATCTCGAGCCATCTTGGAGGTCATCTTGGGCTCGCCCAGGCACTCTTGGAGTCATCTGAAGCAGTGCCCCCCCCCTGGAGGCCCAAATGTGGCCAAAACCTTTCTGTAAAATCAATGATTTTGACAGTTTCGCCGAGGCCTCTTGGAGCGTCTTGGGTGCCTCTGGGGGGCCTCTTGGGGGTCTCTTGGGGGTCTCTTGGGAGCCTCTTGGGAGCATCCTGGGGGCCTCTTGGGGGCTTCTTGGGGCCACATGGGGCCATCTTGGGGCCATCTCGGAGCCTCTTGGGGCCTCCTGGGCGCCTCTTGGGGCCATCTTGGAGGAGATCGATCCCAGGACGGGGGAATTAGCCTCCCCCCCTCAGGAGGCCAAAATGAGGCCAAAACCTTAGTAAAACCAATGTTGTTGGCTTCCTCGCCGAGGCCGTTTCGGACGCTCCAACGCGTCGGGGACCCCCCCGTCGAGGTGGGATGGGGGTAGGGGGAGGGGTAAACCCCTCCCCGAAGGGGAAGATGGAGGGGTAAAAGAGGAAACACTCTAGACCACCCACGCCCAAAGGGCTAGCGGGATCCGCACCAAAGGTTCACGGAGTCTTTCTTATCTCCGAACTTTCTGAATCGAACGCGGCACTCATTCTTGGGTTTGTTGGCTATCGGAGATCCCCGACTCCGTCGTGCCGCTATGTTCATATGTTGCATACGCTGGCACTTGGAAGATTTAACAGCAGGTAGCGCAAATGGCAAAGCTTTCAGGATCGGCAGATTCTTTCAATGGCTCTGGGATGGGGGACCAGACCATTGATAGTGAGTTCCACAGCGTTGTGCGGGGAGACTGCCGCTGAATTGAAACGTTTTTGCGAGCGGGGATGCAGTGGGCAGCTTGATGGAGGGTGTTTCTATTCGTCGAAAGCGCGCGGTTGTTCCGACCGGCTTAACGGGTCTCTCGTCATTCCCGGTGTTTCTTCAGTGGTTCTACAAGATACATGGACGGAGTTCAAATCCATCCAACATGCTTTGCGTTTCGTGCATCTCCACCAGCCAACCAGAAACGATGTCCAGGATTGTGGCTCGGATCGGGAGGTTGAAGGAGCGGAGGAGGATGAGACAGGAAGAGAAGGAGGGAGGAGAACGAGGAGGAGGAGGAGGAGGAGGAACAGGAGAGGAGGCGGATGAGGAGTAGGACGAGGAGGTTTACCTGATCTTTTGTTGTATGAGCCTCTCGGAGGGCTCTTCGGGCTATCTTGGGGTTCTCTTTCAGCCCTTTATAAGGTCCTCTTGGGATTCTGTCGGGGCAGTCTTGGTGCCCTCGCGGGGGGTTGTTCTGTAGGGTCGTCGGGCCTTCCTGGGACTATTTGTGAAGTTTTTGATGCAATCTTGGACGCCATGGCCCGAAAAGAGGCGTGGCGGAAATTCGTGTCCCCTCCCGTCGGAGGCCGAACGAATGCCTCTTGGGGCCCTCTTGAGCGGATGCTACCGGGGAGGTGCGGTGAGAGCGAGCGAGAGAGAGAGAGAGAGATCAAAGAAATTGAGTGCCAAGAGGCTGGGCGTGGAACTTGCCGCTTGCTTGGCTCAAAAATCCACGGCCCAGCTATTCCCCCCCATCCCACCCGCCACCGCTGCGTCCGCGGTCCATTGGAGTTCTTCAACATGGGCGTGATCTTTGCTTAGCGCCGATCAGTCCTCTGGGCTAGTCTAGCCGTCTGATGGTCTCCAGAGGAAGATCAGAGCCCCGCTGAGGTCAGGACAGGAGTATGAGTTGCACTATGTGTCTATTTCTCCCGGTAACTGCTGATGTGATGGGAGGGAGGTCAGAGTGGGCCGAACGGCCATTCATTGTCCCTCGGCGCGTGGTTGAAGTAAGGTTCCGCGGTGCGGATTGTTGTTGTTGTTGTTGTTGTTGTTGTTGTGGTGGTGGTGGTGGTGGTGGTGGTGGTGGTGGTGGTGGTGGTGGTGGTGGTGGTGGTGGTGGTGGTTGTTGTTGTTGAACATTATTAATTCTAAAGAATAATTATTGTTGGGACCCCTGGTGCGCGCCCCCCCCGCCGCGCCTAGGCCGCAGCCACATTTTCATCATTTTCGTGAGGAAGTCTCAGGCAAAACGGGGTATACCAGATCCGGTTGTGTTGTTACGATCGGTTTTCCCTTGCAAAAAATAAGCTAAAGTTGACATTTCTTGTTCTAACATAACCAAACTTCAAGAATCCCTTGCAAAAAATAAGGTAAAGTGGGCATTCGCGCGCGCAAGACGAAATCCTTCCAAAACCTTAGTTTTCGTAGCGATTTTAACATAAAAACATCAAAAAACCAATGGTTTTTCAAAAAAAAATGTCAAAATTTCATCCCGCGCGCTCTTGCGGATTCGTAGGAAACCCAACACTTTTTAAACATTTCTGTCAAACGGGCTTTTGCGAGCAACTTTTTCGAACTTCTGCAACAACGGTTGCGCACCTGCCAGGGCCATCATCCCTGTCAAATAATACCATGCGGGACACATTCGTTTTTTCTTCGCGCGCGCACGCCGTCGTCGTCGGCCGCGGGGCCCTGAATAGTAGCCACGGTCGTCCGCATGCCACGAAGTGAAGTGTCCGAACGTCATAGGGCGGGAAGCTGGGTGTGGGTGGTGGCGAAGAGTCGTTTGGAAATTTGGTAGAGCTTGAACCGGCCCCCCCACAAAGTGGGGGTATTGCCCGCCTCCTATGAAAACCCTGGCACTGGTGAGAACGGAGTGTCCCCACGTGCTAGTAATTGTTGTTGTTGTTGTTGTTGTTGTTGTTGTTGTTGTTGTTGTTGTTGTTGCGTTGTTTGTTATGTGTTTTTCGTTGTTTGTTGTCGTCGTCCCACCCGCGACCCGGCCCGCGACCCGCCCGCGACCCTCCCCGCGACCCGCCCGCGACCCTCCCCGCGACCCATTCGCGACCCACTCGCGACCCACCCGCGACCCGACCCGCGACCCGCCCGCGACCCACCCACGAGCCACCCGCGACCCATCCGCAACCCACCCGCGACCCGGCCTGCGACCCACCCGCGACCCACCCGGGACCCACCCACATTATCATACCGAAAAAAAATCTGCGCTTGCGGCGGGCTCGTTGTACAAATTGTAACATGTTTGCGCCTGCGGCGGGCTTCTGCAGAGCCGCGCAGACTGCCGACGCCCCCGCGCCCAACTCACTCTTATCCGCAACTGCGATGGGCTACGCTATCCGCTACCATTTTGTCGACTTGAGTTCGCTGGAGAATTCGCTCTCCAGACTTGGATCGGTGCTTTCGTCTCAGCGCTGGCCGAAGTTCCGATCGGTGATTCCGAATGGTGCTCTCGCCAAAGCGCCTGCCAAAGTTGATTGCGAAGGCCTTACGGCCGTTGCCGCCGACCCTGAGAGCGACGAAGATGAAAACAAGGGGGGGGCAGGGGGGAGGAGGTGAATGAGAGAGGAGGAGGGGGGAGAAGGATGTGGAGGAGAAGCAAGAGGAGGAGAAGGAGGCAGAGGAGAGCAGGAGGAGGGGGAGCAGAGGGGGGGGGAGGAAGGAGGAGGAGGAGGAGGAGGAGGAGGAAGAGGAGGAGGCCAGAGGCTTTCTTGGGACAGCCTGTGGCTCTCCTGAGGCCGTCTTGGGCCGTCCAGGGCTCCTCTTGCGCCGTATCAAGGCACTCTTGGAGGCCTCCTAGGCAATTTAGGTGCTCTCCTTGGGCTGTCTTGGGGCAGTTTGGGAGCCCCTTGGGAGCCTCTTGGGGCCTCTTAGGGGCTTTTTCGGTGCCTCTTGGGGGCCTCTTGGGGCTGAGAGCTCGAAATGTCTTGGGGCTGAGAGCTTGAGGGTTTCTTGGGCCGTCTTGGCGCGTCGGGAAGCGGAAGAGGCAACAGCGCCAACATCTTTCAAAAACGTACGGGAAATCCATGAATTTTGCATCTTGGGGCTATCGTGAGAAAGCTCCTGGAGGCCTCTTAGGGGCGCCTTGTAGGCCTCGTGGGCCGTCTGGAGGCCGTCAAGGCGTCTTGGACAGATCGTTCGGCGATTCGGGGTTCTCTTGGACTCTTGGACTGGCTTTGGGGCCTCTCGGGGCACTCTTGGCCAGTCATGGGGCTCTTTTGGGCTCCGGGACTCCCACGGGGGCGTCGTATCTGACCCCCCCCCCCCAGCGGGGCGTTTGACCCCCCCACCCCACCCCGGGACCCCCCCGCCCCACAGCGGGGGAGGGATCGAAGGGAAAGGGTCT